TTCTTTCTACCTGTCCTGAGCTGTGAGGTCTATAAGAACAATGTAATTTCCAATCGAACCCCAGTTGTCTGGCCAGCCCTCGACTTACCTGGGAGACAAAAGCAGGCCCATTGTCTGACCCAATTACCGTTGGTACTCCAAACCTGGGTAGAATTTCTTTCAGTATCTTCTTAGCCACCATGTTGGCTGTTTCTTTCTTGGTGGGGAACGCCTCAACCCATCCTGAAAAGGTGTCTATAAAAACTAGCAGATATTTATTTCCATATTGGCCAGGCTTAACCTCAGTGAAATCCACCTCCCAATAGGTCCCAGGTCGGTCCCCCTCAGCCGTTTCCCTTCTAGGCCTCGGCTGAAGCCAGCATTGGTGAAAGCACAAGCTTTACAATTTTTTACGATGTCTGTAGCCATTTACCGTAGCCGTGGCATATGATAGGAAGATTTATTTGCCAGCTTTATCATTTTCTTTGGTCCTAAGTGGGTAAACTGATGTATGCCAGTCAAGTAAGTCCATGTTTCTTTCCCAGAGAGGGCACCTCCTGTCTTTTTAATATTTTGCCAAGGTCTATGTCTTTCTCCAGCTAATAGGATCATCAGTCCCGGTGCCGCCTCTTTTGCCATGTGATCCTCCAGTTGGTTTCCTTTTTCTATTGGGCCAGTCCCTTTTTGATGTCCCAAACAGTGTATGATAGCCACTTTGCGGGGCAAATGAATAGCTACTAATAAGCTGAGAATCTCTTCTTTGTTTTTAATTTCTTTACCAGCAGATGACAGCAGTCCACGCTGTCTATAAATTGCCCCACGCACATGGGCTGTGGCAAAAGCGTACCGGCTATCAGTGTAAATGTTAATAATTTTTCCTTCTGCCAGTCTTAGAGCTTGTACTAGAGCAATAAGTTCTGCCTTCTGGGCCGATGTCCCTTCCGGCAAACTGCTGGCCCATATAACAGTCTTTCCATCCACCACCGCTGCCCCTGCCTGGCACTTACCTTCTACCACGAAGCTGCTTCCATCAGTGAACCATGCCGGTGCACCCGGCCATGGTTGGTCAGTTAGGTTGGGTCAGATTCCCGCCTCTCCAGCCAGTATCTCTTCACACTGGTGTACTGGGGTTTCATCAGTATCAGGCAGTAAGGTAGCAGGGTTAAAGATAGCGGGTGGAGCAAAAGTTATTCGCTCAGTCAACAACAGGCTCTGGTAGTGCGTCATCCGGGTATTGGTCATCCAGCGGTCTGGCAGTTGTCTGATAATGCTTTCGTGGGGGGCCACCACAATCACATTTTGGCCAATAGTCAACTTATCAGCATCTTTCACCAGCACAGCCGTTGCTGCTATCACTCACAGGCAAGAGGGCCATCCACTGGCCACTGGGTCATACTTTTTAGATAGGTAGGCCACTGGGCGTTTCCATAGCCCTAGAGTCTGAGTCAGGACTCCTCTAGCAATCCCCTTCCACTCATCAATGTATAAAGTAAATGGCTTAGCCAAATCAGGCAATGCTAGGGCAGGTGCTTGCAATAAGGCCCTTTTCAGGCTGTCAAAGGCCTTCTGATGGTCCTCAGTCCAGTCGAACTCTCCTTTTTCCTTAGTGAGAGGGTACAACGGGGCTGCCAAGGTAGCGAACCCCAGTATTCACAGTCTACAGAACCCTGTTGTCCCCAGGAATTCTCTTACCTGCCAAGGGGTGGTTGGAGTCGGGATCTGCATCACAGTATGCTTTCTGGCATCAGTCAGCCATCTCTGCCCATCTCTCAAGATGTATCCCAAATAAGTCACTTCTGTCTGGCACAATTGTGCTTTCTTGGCAGAAGCCTGATACCCCAACTCACCTAGCTCAGCCAGGATCTTCTGGGTTCCTTGTTCACATTCTTCGTGGGTTTCTGCAGCCAATAAGAGGTCATCTACATGTTGTAAGAGAGTCACCTGGGAATTCTTACAGTGAACAGTGGTTAGGTCTCGATGTAATGCCTCATCAAACAGGGTGGGAGAGTTTTTGAACCCCTGAGGCAGTCTTGTCCACGTGAGCTGTCCAACTCTCCCGCTCTCCAGGTCCCGCCATTCGAAAGCAAACAGAGGCTGGCTAACAGGATGTAATCTAAGGCAGAAAAAAAGCATCTTTTAAATCTAGGACAGTATACCAAGTCTGTTCAGGTGGTAGTGTACTGAGCAAATTATAGGGATTTGGCACTGTAGGGTGGATATCCTGTACTTGTTTATTAACTTCTCTAAGGTCTTGGATGGGGTGAAAATCATTAGTCCCTGGTTTCTTTACTGGTAGAAGCAGAGTGTTCCATGGGGACCTGCAGGGGACTAGAATTCCCTGCTGTATCAGTCTCTCAATGTGTGGCCTTATGCCTTCTCTTGCTTCTTTGTTCATGGGGTACTGTTGAACCCCAATAGGTGTAGCTCCGGATTTGAGTTCTATGACTACAGGGGGGCTTGTCTTGCCATCCCCATCCCCCCGTCTCAGCCCAAGATTGGGGAAATTGATCCATCCAGTCCTGTAGCCCTCTGGGGGGCTCTATTGTTTTTTGGAATAGCCAGTACTCCTCCCCTAGATGTAGGGACGTTATTAAGGTTTGAGTTTTCTCTCCCCCAGGACAATTCTGGACCTGAGGGGGTAAAGGTGATTTGAGCTTTTAATTTTGTTAACAAGTCTCTGCCCAATAGGGGCATAGGGCACTCAGGGATTACTAAGAATGAGTGGGACACTTGGTTCTTGCCAAGGTTCACCTTCCGGGAGGTGGTCCAGGGATACTGTTTTTCTCCAGTGGCTCCAATTACCAGAGTTTGTTTGTCTTTTATTTTTCCCAAAGGTCTTTTTAATACTGAGTATTCTGCTCCGGTATCGACTAGAAAATTCATGGGAGTCGCCTCCACTTTCAAAGTTACCCTAGGCTCGGGGAGGGGAACCGAGCCCTGTCCCCTCTAGTCTTCATCATCTCCCAAGGACAGTACTTTCGCCTTGATTTTCTTAGGGCATTCTCGAGCCAAGTGGCCTTTTCCTTTGCAATAGGCACATTGGTCTTTTTCTATTGTAGTTCAATCTATTTTCATGAGTCTCCTTGGGCCCAGCTTCAATCTGTCTCCCAGGTCCCCTGACTGTCTAACCTTAGTCTTTCTTTCTTCTACCACTGCGGCCAGTATTCGTGTCAGATTCCTTTCCTGTCTCTGTTCCCTTCTATCTTCATCTTCTCTCCTTTCTTTCTTCTCCCTCTCTCTCTTTCCTTCCTCTGTCTCTCTCTTATGATAAACTTTCTCTGCCTCTTTAACCACATCTCTTAATTGTCATGTCATGTATTCCGTCTAGGCGCTGCAACTTCCTTCTAATATCTGGAGCAGACTGCCCAACAAAAGCCATTATAACATTACCTCTCTGCCCCTCTGTCATAGGATCAAAAGGAGTATATCTGGGATATGCTTCCATGAGGCGTTCTAAAAAGACAGCTGGGGCTTCTGTTGGTCCTTGCTCGACCTCTCTTACCTTAGCCAAATTGGTGGGGCATCTCACTGCCCCTCTGAGACCTGCCACTAGAGCCCGGCAGTAGATAGCCAGCCTTTCCCTACCTGCAGCAGTGTTATGGTCCCACTGAGGTCGAGTGGGGGCGATGGCTTCATCAATTTCTGCTGGGGTTAGGTTCTGCAAAAGCTGGCCAGCCACGTTCTGGATGTTTTTACGGGCTTCCATAAGGATCCTCTCCTTCTCTTCAGTTGTAAAGAGCTCCCGTAAGAGCAGATTACAATCATCCCAGGTGGGTTGATGCGTAAACATCAGGGATTCCATCATCCCTGTCAGAGGTGTAGGGTTATCTGAAAAACTAGGATGGTTATTTTTCCAATTGTAAATATCAGAAGAAGAGAAAGGCCAGTACTGTAATAACTGTAACTGGTTTGGGCCAGTCGGGGGAGGTCCGGCGGCCCTGAGGAGCAGGGCCACTGTGGAGTCAGGGTCTTCTGAGATTGAAATAGCCCCCCTCCTCCTCCTTGTCCCTGCTGAGGGCCCTCTGGGAGCCATCTCTACCGGGGCAGGAGCTGGGGGTGCAGAGGGTGCAGGCATAGGCTGGGGTTGAGGAGACCCTGGTGAAGGTGGGTAAAGAGGGGGTATGGGATCCAGCCAGTCAGCAGGGAGGAGCGGCCACTCAGGTGGCTCCTCTATTTCAGGGTATATTTTAGGAGGGAGTGGGGGTTTCGGTGCAGCACTGGCCTCTTTGTCCGTCTGTGGTTTCTCTTTCTTCTCCGCCGCTTTTCCTCTGATAGATAAAACCCGGGAACTTGGCCGATGAGCAACCCATGGCTTCATCCATGGGAGCGGATAATGAACCAAGTCCTCCCACACTGTGATATAGGGCTGTTGGTGTGGATGAGATCCAGGACCCTCCTGAAACACAATTGCCTTAATGCCATGGATAATTGTCAAGTTAAATGTTCCTTCCTGAGGCCATCCTACATCAAAAGTGGGCCACTCTGCAGAGCAGAATGTCTGCCAGCATCCCTTCTTAATGATCACTGACAAATCCTGTCCTCTACCTCTAACGTCCGTCCAATGGTCAAGAGTCAAAGATAATGGTGTCATCATTGTCTGTTCCATCTCAAAATTCTCAAAACTTAACAGACTCACAACACAAATACAAACACACAAGACTAACACTGTCAGGCACACTCATCCCCATCGGGTTTTATAAAACCAACCGAACGCAACTTCTGATGGGGAAGGGTTCCATGTCTTCCCCCAGAGTAGGAGCACTCCGTCTCCTTCATTCCGAAACAGGGCAGTCTGGCTTCCCGGACTCCCTTTCACCCTTGGAGCATCCTCCAGGGCTGCAGCCTGTGGTTCCAGGCACGTCTGCCCCCCCCCCCAGCCAACTAAGACCTCATGGTCTATAGTGGCAGCTGCCCAGAAACTGAAACCAAAATACAGAAACAGCAAAGATAGCAGTGCTGCACTCAGACTTACCCCATTCACACAAACCTACCTCCAAGGGGCCTTCGGGAACCCTGGGTGGTCACCCAAGTTCCCGGTCAGGGAACCAAATGTAAGGGACCCCCGAAGAGGGGGTCTCCACTCTCACCCAAGGAAACACGGATACCGGCTTGATGCAAAATAGCAAAAGGTAGTTTACTGGTAAGGGGCCCTCAGATCGAAATGCATCCCATGCAAGGGAAGGATTTTGACCAAGACCTCTGACAGTTTGAGATTTTTATAGGAAGCAGCACAAGGGGAAGGGGAGAGTGGGAAACTTTGGCGCAGTTACATTTGATTGGATATTTTAAACATCAGCAATAGGTGTAAGTTATCATTTTGGCGGGCATAGCAAGCTTTTTTTGGTGGTCATGATGACTCAGTATTTTTGGCCAATAAACCCCAGACCTCCCGATAGGTGAAGAAAAACACCAGATGGCCCATTTTTCAATTGTGCATGTTTAGACTTGTCAAGGCCTGTCCTTGGTTGTTCCTACATTCGTGGTCACTCTGCCCTAGGAGGAACTTGTTATTTTTTTGTTTTTTGTTTTTTGGTTTGGTTTGGTTTGGTTTGGTTTTTTGGTTTTTTGAGACAGGGTTTCTCTATGTAGCCAGCCCTGGCTATCCTGGAACTCACTCTGTAGACCAGGCTGGCCTCGAACTCAGAAATCCACCTGCCTCTGCCTCCCAAGTGCTGGGATTAAAGACGTGCACCACCACTGCCCGGCTGGAACTTGTTATTATTGTTTTGGCTGTTTTCACAAATTGTTGGTGATCTGGTGGGTTCTGCTGAGGCATTTTAATTTTCTGCCCCCACAGAAGCAGAGACAGAGATGGAAGCTGAATACCAGACATCTAGGCAACCAGAAGATATGGGAGGGGCATTAGTGCTTGTGAGCCAGGGCTTTGTGTCACTGTCAATCTCAGAGTAGACTGGCTGGTTCTCATTAGTCTTTCCTTTATTGGCCAATGTATTGTACTAATGCATGTATATACATATGTAACCTGTTGAGTGCAGTTAGTGCTTCCACTACTCAACAACATGCAAACCCTTCTCAAATTGTAAATGTCATGTGTGTATATTATGTGGCAGTTACACCTTTTTGTAAAGTCTTTTGAATAGTTTTCTCTGCACTCTAGAAAGTGAATCAGAAAACAGGGTTTAAATATCTTGTATGCAACATTGTCATGCTAAATGAATCTATTTGTTTAATTGTATTGAACTATGACAATTATAACCAGCTGTGTGTTGCATTATACTGCTGTATTGGAGTGTGTTGCTGTGTATGCACTGTTTGTGTGAGCCCCTCAGTGCCTGGCACAGGGCCTTACTTGGAATGGAATATACTGTCAATAAACTCTTTTCTTTCAGCTCTTTGTCAGTAAAGTTCTTCGGCCTAAACATCAGTTGATTCCTGATTCCTGGTTCTGAAGAAAACAGAATATGTTTCTAGCAGATTCTAATCTGTGGACTTCCCACCATTCATGTCCATGTGTGGGTTGGGAAGGGCTGTGTGGTGAGGCTTCCTAACCAGAAGTGCAGAGAGACTGTAGTGAGTATTAGGGTAGCATGTCTCAGAGGTCATGGATACACTTGCCAGGTGTGAGAGTTGGGAGGCAGGGAGACAGAGACTGAGCATAGAGAGAGCGAGCAAAGCATCGGTCTTATGTGGCCCTCCACAGTACTCTAACTATGGTCCTGAGACAGAATACATTTCCTTGTTGGACAGACTTCTTTACATTTAACCCGCCATACCTTGACATCATGGATTCCTAGGTCCTGTGCCATGAGTCCTGCCTCTGAAGCTCTCTAGACCCAGTTCCAGCTCAGTCACTTCATTATTCTTGGGATCACCTAGCTCCCTAGTTATCATAAGAAATTAACAGATTGCTGCACATCAGTTCTGGAGGCTTCTGTGCTCAGGAATTCCCCTTTGTCTGGTTGCATGTCAGTGGTGAAAATCAAACGTGAGTCACAGTAGGAAACTCAGTGAGAACCTCACAGGATCAGTGGCCAGTCCTGAAGTGGCACGATGCAGCTCCCAGGGAAGGGCATTCTACCACAGTACTAGGTAAGTCATGGAGCTTCTCATCATCTTATGGATAACAAATGGAGACATGATGTGACGTCACTGACTCCCCTGACATCACACAGCCAGTGAGCAGCAGAGCCAGCAGGTAGAGTAGTGAGAAGCAGCATGTCCTGTTAAAAGCAAAGTAAGCATCCAGGGACAAGGTGACCCTTTTCCTGGTGCCACTGACCTGTGTTTAAATGATTGGTTTTGTTTCTCTGATTTTGATAGAGGGTCTCTTAGTGTGACCCAGGCTGGATTCACAGTTTCTGCATAGCCCAGGTTGACCTCAGGTCACAATAAGGACCCTGCCCTGGCCTCCTGAGTCTGGACTTACAGGCATAAGCCACTGTGTCTAACACCATAACACTGCCCTGGCCTCCTGAGTCTGGTGTCGCAGGCATGAACCACTGAGCCTAGCACCATTTTTCATTGCATGGCAGTTGGCAGCATCCTGCTGTATTTGCACTGTGTAAGAAGAATGGGCAGGGAAGAGAAGCCTGAGCCTTGATTATTGAGAAATATAGGAAATTCATTCCTCCATCAGTTAACTTCATTGACTAAGGAGCTGCCTAGGAAGTTCACTCATCTCGTCAATTTACAGCCATACTTCTAGAGTAGTGATGGAAAGAAATATTTAAATTTAATTGAATAGTTACATTAATGATGAAGCATAGTGCTGGGGCTTTTGTTGTTGCACAGAGTCCTTGTAGTGAGGCTTCTGAGGAAGGCACTGCTACCCCTGTTTAACATATGAGGAGGCCAGAGCTCAGACAAGTTGGGTAATTTTCCCCAACTCACACAGTAAGCCTAGTATGACCAGGATTGGCCATCACAGGCTGTTGACTAGGATTAAAGTACAGGATCTAAGATGAAGTCAGTAATTGGGTGTCCTCTGAACTTACAGTACTCTGTACCAAGTAAGTAGGTGTGGAAGAAAGGCTAAGGAGCTAGCTGGCCCTCTGTCACAGTGAGTTACAAAAGAGTCAAAGGCACAAAAGATTGCTTCCTTCTAATAGGAGAAGGGCAAAGGACAGGCATTGTGTTCTCTGTAGGACGCACGGTTGTTTGAACGCACAGCTAATGAAAAGGTTATCATTGTTCATTATGTATGACTTAGGGATTGAGACCCAGACCTCTTAAGTGCGCCTGTGAGTGAGGTCAGTGTGTCAGCCATGTTCAAGATGGATGACCTGGAGGAGCACAGACATTCCTGGGAGGGAGGAAGCTCTAATACTTTAGAAAAGTATACAGTGCCCAATGTTGTTAAACAGAGGTAAGCCATTTGGTGGTAAAAAGTGTACTGGAATTTTTTGAGGCCCTCAATCAGGTAAATGCTCACACAAGTGGTCCAACCCTCTTCTTGGTCTGTGCATCTACGTTGTGGCTTCCAGATGGCCCCTCTTTCCTCAGCACCATCAGGGTCTTCAGCTCATGAAGAATTGAGAAGAGAACTGTTTGTCAAAGGTTTCTGGATGTGTTTCTCTTAATACTCCAGTGTCACTGTTTTGATTTTCAGGTATTCATTCAGGGCCTCCTCTCCTGGGGAGAGAAGTGTAACCAGTAGGATGTACACAAAGATGAAGACCTGTGGCCTAGGCCAGTGCTGTTGAGGTTCACCCGGGTCATCCCAGGGCCTTGCTGACTTGCAGGTGGGAAGGCCCTGAGAGCAGCCCTCCCTGACTATCCCCGCCCAGTGCAAATGTTTGGGGACCATAGACCATGATGAACAGTAAGGGCTTAGGTAGCCTTCCAGCCCCCTCAGGATTGGTATGTTGGTAAGTGAACCTCAGTGCCTAAGCTTCAACCTGTTTCCCTGCTTGGTGAATTCTACCTGTGTCTCCATTTTCCAGCCCTGTGCTGTCTGTTGCATTGCATTAAACCAAGAAGAGTTGATCACAGAGAGGAAAGCTTGGGGACATTTCACTTTCAACTTACTGCGAAG